GAAGGCTGTTGACCACTTTCTGCTACAGGGAATCAATTGAATGGGCTCAGAAATAAACCTTCACGGTGAGATCAGATCTCATCCTTTTTCTGCACCGGCTGGCACGGGCTTCGGGCTTCTGTAATTAAATGTTTGTATTGTGGCAGCACCTGGGTGTCCCAGACAAGGACCCCCTTGTGTGAGGCTGCAAAGGGAAATAAAGAAATGAGCCCTGGCCCCAGCGCTCACAGCACTGGAGGGTCTGACACAAGTAGGTCAGCAGCAAAGGGGGTGGGATAAGGAGGTGCGCAGGAAAAAAAAATTATTTGGGTTAGTGGTCTGAATGTGTAATGAGCTGGGGAGAGGTTGTTTAATATGGAAAGCTGCCCCAGCTGAATAACGTAGGGTTAATCTGGTCTCTGCAGCCTACGAGGGAGAGGATGAAGCCTGGCAGAAGAACTGCATCGTTCATACCTCTCCCTGGAGTCCCTGCTCAAAGACCTGCGGGCTGGGCATCTCCACCAGGATTTCTAATGACAACGACCAGTGCCAGCTCCTGAAGGAAAGCCGCCTGTGCAACATGCGGCCCTGCGAGGTGGATATAACCAAGCACATTAGGGTGAGGACTGTTTATTTGCACATCCCTTGGGCTTTGCCTAGATACGGGGTCAGCCTTGGTTTGGCAGCATTCAAGCTTCTGAGGGCTGCACTTTTACATGGACTTAATGTGCTGCAGGGAGGTTAAAAAATATGTCCTCCCTGTGCTTCCCCATGGTGGTATGAAAACCTTGCCCTGGGAGCTTTGGTTCCAGCCAAAAGGTCCTTGCAAGGAGAGGCAAGCCAAGCCCGCTGTGCTGGCTGCTGGTTCGGACAGACCCATGGCTCAGCTGGCGGAGAAGTGATGGTGTCCTGCTGGTCATGGCTACAAACTGTGACCTACCTGCAGCTTTTGGGTTCATATGTCTAAATATGTAAATCTGTCAAACCCTCTAGATAAGGGCTGTAAAATGCTTTCTAGCAGCTTCAATACCCTTTATATATCAGGAAGGTGGTTAGTATGTCCTACCTGTATCATTAATGAATATTAACCTGTTTCTTTTTACATTCTCTGATTTAGCCTGGGAAGAAGTGCTTGGCTGTCTACAGGGCCAACGAACCAATGAACTACACCATCTCAGGATGTGTGAGCAAAAGTCCATATAGACCCAAATATTGCGGCGTCTGCACAGACAACAGGTGCTGCACACCCTACAAGTCCAAGACTATTGAAGTGAGGTTTCAGTGTCCAGATGGAACTGAGTTTTCCTGGAAAATCATGTGGATCAATGCTTGTTTTTGCAATCTGAACTGCAAGAATCCCAACGACATCTTTGCTGACTTGGCTCATTACCATGATTACTCTGAAATCGCTAATTAAATTGGCTGAATGCTAGAATTGACCCATTGCTCTGATTTTACAGAGGCTTTAAAATAAAAGGAGAATCTTCATCTTCTGCCAATGTACAATTTGTTTTTTTCCTGAGTTAGGATGTTAAATCTCCTTGTTTTGCCACACTCTTTTTGGAGAGGCCTTAAACAAACAGGATTTTCAACTGTAATAGTCTTCCATCCATTAACAGCAGCCAGAAATTCCTCTATGCACAGATTCCAGGACTTAAATGACAGTCCTGTTGGCACTGCCATTTATTAGGCCAGAAGCTTAATTGCCAAAAGCAAAGAATAGTACACTGGTATGACAGAAGAAGTATGGCTGTCAGTAGCTTAGGCACAAGAGTCAGACATTGTTACTGTCTTTTCTTGAATAATATTGTCTAAACTGGAAAATGAGCATTGGCATGTATGTTTTTTTTTAACATTAGATTTCAGGTTTTGGTGCTGCTGACCCTCAGGACCAGACTTTAGTCTCTTGTCACACTGAGATCAGTCCTAGAACTCTGTCTCTGTCTTTCTCAGTCAGATCCTACCCCATGGTGAAGTTAAGGGAAAAGACGGAGGAGAGAAGGCTTCTCATTTAATCTCTGTGCCCTAAGTCCATCTATCACTGCACTAGGCTGGGTCAAAGAACTTCTGTGTCTTGCCCTCCTTGGACTCACCTCAATCTCTTGGAGTATCTTGTGCCAGGGACATTTTCACAGTTTCTCTGCCTGATCTTACCTTGAACAGCCTGAATGCTCTGATCAATCTCAAGATTCTTACCTTGAACAGCCTGAATGCTCTGAATCCAAAATGGCCAGCCCAGAGCTCATATTCTCTATGGATTATGTATCACTCCTAGGCTAGCTCTGCAGACCGGAAGGATGAAATGCAGCGAGTCAGATGTAAGACAAAGGATCGTAGCTCATGTGCCCATTTATTCACATAGAAATGGTGTGGTCTGTGCCTGGGGACCACCACATCCTCCTCCCTGTGGTATTGCCAGCACAAAGGTCCTGCTTCCCACTGCCACCTTGCCAGTGACTTATACCTTTGTTTTACCTGTCTGGGGTAGCAGAGAGGGGATGTGCTACTTGAGATACTACATGTTAGGCTTTCCATCAGCTCTGTGGATGAGCAGAAGGAGAGGACTACCCTTGGCATAGCTTCTAGTGCATTAGTTGCAACTTGGCTGCTGCTTAAACATCAGTGTAAACATTTTCTGAAGAAGCGGTTTCCCACAAATGTCAGCTAAGAGAAGAAAAACTGTCGTTACCTTTCCAGGAAATAAATTTGTCATCACTGAAGGTTGATAGAGCCAGTATTTTCACCAATACATTGCTAGTATAGCACCCATGTACCATGGCACATTCGCTGTTGATTCACAAGGGGGAGTAGAAATGTGTTTCTGCACGGGGAACTGTAATATCTGCTTCCCAAATCCCTGGTGGCGCAGCAGAACTGCTGAGCGACACATGGCCTGGAGATTGGACAAATACATGGCTGAACTTCAGATGATGCAACTGTTCAAATCAGTCACTTATTTTGCTTTAGTTTCAATCCGCAAGTTTTCTGCCGCCTTCTTGATAATCCAGAGGAAGCCAGATTAGAACATGGGAGACATAAACCTTTCTGGCTATGATAAATTGAAGTTTCTTGTGAGCAGGATGAAAATAATACAGTCCCTAGGTAAACACATCTAGGAAAAATGCTGTATGTCTTCAAAACCTCTTAACTTCAATAGGACCTTTCTTTGATGTGGTTTAACCTCAACTAGCAATAAAGTACCATGCAGCCACTTGCTCACTTCCATCCCTTCCCCCAGTGGAGGAGGAGAGTTGGGGGAAGAGGGAAGGAAGCTCATAAAGTTAAGAACTATTTAATAGCTGAATATAAATGAAAATTATAGAGATATGAATAACATTAACAATACTATTATTAATAAGTAATTGAAATAATATAAAAGAAAATAAATTATACAATTGCTCACCACCTGCCAATCAATACACAGCCAGGTCCTGAATAGTGAAAGTCAGAGCCAAAGAGGCCCAGAGCCAGAGCCCGAGAGCAAGTCTGAGCAAGCTCCACAAATGACAGCATGACTAGGAAAGCCAAAAGACCCACCAACACACTAACAAATGCATGAACAAATGAACGAACAAACAAGCTAACAACAAGCAAGGTTTAGCTCGCCAGCCCACTCCTGGCTTACGTACTGAGTGAGACATGCTATGGAATGGAATAGTCCTGCGGTCAGTTTGGGTCAGCTCTCTGAACTGTGTGTCCCCCCACACTGCCTGTAGTGAGAAAGCTGGGGATGCAGGTGCAGTATCAGAAGCTGGAAAAGACCTTGAACTGATGCAAGCACTCCTTATCATTACTCTTCTTGGCAAATCCAAAACATAACCTTGTACCAGCTACTGTGAAGAAAATTGGCTCTGTCCTGACTAAAACCAGTACATTTATATACAAGGATTTGGCCCATACGTTTTTCATAGTGCTAGGTCATTCCTTAATTCAAAGCTTTTACTATTTCATTTTTGAAGCTTCCGTGAAATCCCCGGTGACAGAACAGAAGGGTGATCCCTGTCTGCATGTCCCAGTGCAGGTGCAAAGCACCTCTCCTGTTTATTCCTGTGGTGATAAGGAACCTGAGGACATCAGCACTTTGCAAGATTCAGCCTCATGACTGCCTTTGGCCTGGATGATGTGACAGAAGTCACATCTGACCTATTCACCTCCACCCAAATGAGAGCTCAACACTTGCAAGACTGAGCACGTTACATTTTAAACTCTACCACCTGATAAAATAACGTCCATGGGAGCACATGCAAAAGGCCTTGGCCAGGAAGTTGACAATGTTTTCCGAAAGGGAAAATGTTTTTTTTTGAGGCACTTGGTAGGGAACACATACTGGGACCACTTTCTCAATCAGATCCCTTAAATATGACATGGAATCCTTTGTTCTAGTTCTTGCCCATCTTAAAATACCGTGTGTGTGTGTATACATGTATATGCATATATACAAACATGAACATATACATGTGTATATGTGTGTGTATGTATATGCATGTATAAAAAATTATATGCATGCATTTATATAATGTTTTATATAATATTATATATAGAACCATATATGAATGTACTCATGAATATATATGTGTATATTTACATGTACATATTCCTTTGGTGAAATCTGTGGTGCATAAAATAGAGTGCATATATAATGTGTGTTTATACAGAATCATAGAATGGTTTGGGTTGGAAGGGACCTTAAAGATCATCTGGTTCCACCCCCCTGCCATGGGCAGGGACACCTTCCACTAGACCAGGTTGCTCAAAGCCTCATCCAGCCTGGCCTTGAAGACATCCAGGGATGGGGCATCCACAGCTTCTCTGGGCAACCTGTTCCAGTGCCTCACCACCCTCTCCGTGAAGAACTTCTTCCTGATATCCAATCTAAACCTCCCTGCTTTCAGTTTAAACCCGTTACCCCTTGTCCTGTCACTACAGGCCCTTGTAAAAAGTCCCCTCCCAGGTTCCATGTGGGCCCCCTTCAGGTACTGGAATATGTACAATCAGTTTTTCTCTGTTATAGGTACACATAAGAAAACACAAAAACAGGATCAGCAGTGATCCCCAAAACGGCAGCCCTTAACAGGCTTGCTTTACTTTGCAATTAGCTAACACTGACACAGCTTCCGTTGTGAGATAAAAGAAGCTACTGTAAGCTAATGCATAACCAGCAGCTCCAGTGGGTGTCAGTTTTTAGTGAAGTGATTGCCTGGAAACCACAGATCTCGCCCAATGCATCCAAGATTTTTCTGTTTCTAGCCTGGTTTCCTCAGGTGTACACAACCATATCATCCATTTTTATGTCTGTCAGTCAGTCCTGCTCTGGGAAATTTCAAACAAAGTAGGCAAAAGAGTAAAGAAGCATTGTGATTCCTGAATTAAAAATGAAATAAAATAGCAGGACAGAGGAGAGGCCCACCACATTGACCCTACCAAGTCCAACATGTCTGCAGAGTGGTCCAACCACAACAGCAGCATGGAGAGATTTTGAGCAGATGCGCCAATCAGAAACAAGCAGCCACAGGGGAGGGAGAGCTGAAAGCATCACAGATGGAGAATGGTGGTTATTACACTGCTGCAGAGGAGTTTTGTGGGGACATTAGACTCAAATCTATGGGAAACCAAGCCCCATAAGCTCGACTGCTTTTCTGTCCGGTGACACTGAACGAGGAAGAGCAACACTTGTAGCTGGTGACCTTGACTTGCAGTTTGTGGTGCATCAGAGATCCTTTGTTTTAACAGTTGTTTACAAGCAGATTAGCCCTAGGTCTAAGGCAATAGGCTAGAGTTTAGACTCGGTTCCCTGGCTCCCTGCCTGCTAGGGCAAATCGTGTATCTTCACAAAAGCACTTTTGTGGTTACTGTTGAAAGGCAGCAAGGATCTAGATCCTCAAAAGTTTTCATGGATCCAGCCCTTTCCTTTGCTTTTCCTCAGTTCTTCTTCAGTTTTCTCAGTCCTTCAGAGCCAGAACAACAAGGCCCTACTGTTCATTGCCTCAGTTGAGAGTGAAAACTCCTCCAGCAGGAACTGATGCTCACTGTACGTTTGCACAGTGCCTCATACAATGGACCTAGGTCTCTGCTGGGACCTGAAAGCGGTACCATCATTCAAGAAATCGACAATAATAGCATTGAGGAGATAGCAGGATGGTATCTAACTGGTGCTAGACCTCTCCGGTATAGCAGTCCAGGGAAAGGCTCGAGAGAAGATGGGAGAAACAATTTTGCAACCCAGACTAAGCTGAGAAACTTTGACACCCACCCTGCTCACGACAATCATTCTCTTCGCCTTGTAGGCTGGGAGAAGGATGTAGGATGAACTTTTGAGGGTCAGCTCATATTGATACGAATGGCAAGACTCCTGCTAGCTCCAGTGACCTTAGCCATTAGCCTTCTGCAGGAACTTTACCAGAGTCAGACTAGTGGCTCAAGTAGCCTTGTTTGGGAGCCCCAGAAAGCAGGTTATCTGCTCACTGAAGAAGCAAGCATGTAACTTATAG